TACTAAGTGTCGCTGACTGATGTGATGGCCATATATTGACCGATGATGCATGATGTGGTGCTATTATGAGGGTAAAATATTGTTCAAAGCTTACCACAGTGTATACCATCGCCTAGTGTCCACCATTTAGATAAGACTGCAAGTGTCAAAGATGGAAGAATGACACTCATTTAGCCAACCATAATCCAGAGCTGCAAGAGACGACACAGCTAAATTGCAGGAGCTGGATTGTGATAGATTTTGTAATTAAATGATTCCCCTCGGAAACACCTGACATGTTAGCACCCACAAAGTCATCAGGCAACACTAATGAATGAGGGTATGTGCTTCAGGCTTCATTTTCACAATGTCACCCTGCATAACACATTAGCTACCTGCCCAGACTGATGCTCGTCACCCACATCTTTCTTGTCATTCTCTTATTTTTGCTGAGGATCCAAACAGCCTCCCAGTTCTCCACATCACAATCACAGAGCCAAGGTAAACTGCTGTTGCTATGGTTACCAGCCGGGCTCAGCATCCACGGATGCTCATTGCGATTTTAAGCTGCAAAAAGAACCCTGATAGAGGGCACAAGTCCATACATCCACCCACATAGACACACATTCACGCGTTATACATGCGCACACAACGCTCATAGTACATATGGGCTCTGAAGCACAGCTGCACATAAACACAGACACCCACACATACTCGCTCACTACACTCATACACTCTCACTGGTCCACAATGCAACATGCACAGCATCACTGTGCAATAATTACTCCTGCAATTTCATCATTCAAAAATACTCACAAGGTCCCTATGTGGCTTATTGGTAATTGCATTGTGCTAAAAATGGTTTAAAAACATAACTTCCTATCAACAATGTGAAAAACATGCCCTGATTATTTTTAACTAGATTTGACAATGTTGTACTTCTTGCTTTCAATATTTTGACACTAATTGGCTACAATGACGATTTGGTTCATGATGATGGTTCCTCTGACTAAGGGAGATAAATATTTACAAAACTCAAAAAGCGTGCGATGAGAGAGAAAGAGAGAGAGGCTGATGAAAGCATTGCTCATTTGCCGAAATTGATGATATTCTCATGGGATATGTGCAGCTCTGGTGTAATAAGGCTTTGTCTCGTAATAAATTTCCTCCATATTTGAAAGAACCCTACTAAAACTGTCACTTTCACCTGTTTTTGACAGAGACATCTCTAGGCTATGAACTGTTTGAACATAAAAGATCTATGCAAATCAACATGTAGGTAATTAACAGGATGTGAATTTAACAATTCTGGTTGTGATTTGAATTCCACTAAGCAACTTAATGAACTATTCATTAAACACTAGTAAATAAATCATTGTATTTTTTTTACTTTAATATTTTAATGTTTCTTGTTAATTACAGGTCAGGAGAGGAGAGGAGAGGAGAGGATTGTGGCGAGCAGGATGAGGCCAAGGGCAGAGAGAGAACAGCGTGAGGCCGGTGGAGTGATTGATGATGAGCGACACCTGCGCCCTGCACCGGTCTCGTATCTCTCACGGTGGAGCTACAGAAGCAAAAGAGAAGGAGCAACGACAGTGAAGGATGAGAGAGGACCAGGCCTGGACTTTAATGTTGTGGGGTTTTTTCACGTTTTATTATTTGTGTGCGGCAGTCATCCGTGAGGAGCTGCCGCCTTTACTTTCGTTTTGTTGTTTATTTTACACAAGTTTACTGAAATTATTTTAAAGTTTGTAAAATGTTTGCCGGTTCCCGCCTCCTTTTTTCCATAACAACTAACACTTGTTACAAGGATATTATGAGATTAACCATTAGTGCTGGCTATTGACCCAAATTTCACAATGTGATTTCGATTCACAAGCTTGCTATTCGATTCAATTCGATAGACATTATTTTGGATGTATATCAGATACAAAAAAAGGGGGGGGGGGGTTAGTCGATTAATGGGGGCTAATAACAGCTAATAGTTGACTACAATGTTTTAATGAATGTTTATTTGTACATCTTTCCACATATTTTGTGCAAATATGATTTTCAATTTTTTTTTCATATGTGAGGCTTTACAGGATTATTAAAAAAATCATGTAAAGAAACGAAATAAGTGTGCAGTGAGTGGAAGCAGAGAGATTCTTGGCCCATGAAAGATCACAGGTACAATCACAACCCTGAGACAACATTTACACACTCACACCTACACTATTACAGTATGCCCTAGCTAACATACCTTCAGTGTTCTCTTAAAGGAAGGGGCAGGAGAAGGACACAAAGCACAAATTCATTCTAGGCAATTCATAAGTCACAATTCAGACTAAGCACACTTTCAATGCACTTTGGCACTTAGTCTCACTCCAAACACTCCAAACTAGGGAAAAAAACATGTGGAATGACATGTGGAAGAGATAAAACAAATGCAGCACCATCTGTAGATAAGGATGTTAGGGCACACAAAGCTCAGTTTCATGGTAGCACATGGTTGACTGAGTGGTACATACTGTATGCATTGCTACAGTGTCTCTGAGCATCAGTCTCGAGATGAATTATAGCCAAGCTCTCACTTCACAGGAAATATGATCCACTGGTACATCCAACCCATTAAGTTGTTTAGAGATACTCAATAGCTTAGATGACATGGGAATAACATTCAATCATATCTGTGGGTCCAAATAAAAGATCCAATTAATTTGTTTCACTTTGCTCTGAGCAAACACACCACCGTATTTGGCTCTACCTGCTGGGATGGAATTGAACAGAGGATTATCACTGGCTATATATTATATATATATATATCTTTTTCCAGATTACCAAAGTAATCAATCCAGAGCATGAGTGAGGGAAGCAGTGTGACTATGTGCCTTTACTAAACGTCATTCTGTTTGTAATTCATTTTTTGAATAAATGTCTTAATTGCAGTAGGCCTATAGATTACGGTTATGATTTTTGTGGCTGAATCAAACCTATCCTTATTGCCATAATCAAATGCTTTCTTTACTGCTGTTTTATCCCAGCTGTCATTTTAGTTGTGTGCTATTGAGAGGAAAGCAGACTGAGAGAGCACACGTGGTCTGAATCAATCACATGTCCAAACAACTGAGTGACTAATCTGCCCTACAAAGGCAAAAGACCTTAACTCGCAAGTTGTCCCGCAAAATAATTATAGGTATGCCACTGAAAATCTGGATATTAGATGTTTAAGTAATGAAAATTTTCTACGTAACAAAATTGAGCACAAACTTTTGACCACTATTTTAAAGTTACTGTACTCTGCCTTTGTATTGTCATGTCATGTCAAGACAAAAGGCAGTTACTCCCACTTTATCAATATTTGGTTGTTGATCACCATTAACAAAATCATTATAGTAACACCTGTACAAAAAAAAGTGATCATGGCATTTATTTTGTATGATTTACAATTACCTTTACCTTTTATTGTGCTTTGGTTGCATTCTGGTGGCCCTAATACATTACATAGCGGTAAAGACTAAAGAGTATCTTCAAGTGATACCAAGTGGCATAAGACTTGCTAAACACGCATTCAAAATGATCACGATAAAACAGATCCTCGCGCACATTCGACCCGAAGACTGGTTTTGAAAGTGTAGCATTTAACAAGTAACATTTTTCTGTCAACTCTGCATATATCCTTCACAAACGATATCGCACGTTTGTCGATGGAGCGGGTTAAGAGCATACTAAATGTTCTGACCGTATTAGTGCAGGACAAACTCTGTGAAGTAACAGATGGATAGTAGCTGTACAAAGTACACAGGCTACATCGTATTTTAAATTTTAATGGAGAGTAAAACAAAGGCAGAACACTGTATAATCTGATGGGTAGCATTAGCATTGCCCCATAGGCACATTAACTTCATATTGACGCGCGGCTAAACAAAGGCAGAGTACCTTAATTCAATATGAGCGTTCCAAAACAAAGCCAAAGAGTGGTAACTGGTGTTACAGTGTTCTGCCTTGGTTTCTCATGGTCTTTTGGAAGTTACGGTTAAGACAACCCATTATTTTCTTGAAAAAACATTGTATTTTGGATGTGCTCCAATTTGGAGTGGAGTTGAATATTTCAATTGAAAAAAAAATATATTTTTTTTTTTTTAAGAGAGAAATGGCCGGTAAAACTGGGCATTCATGAACCGGCCACTGTGATTAATGAAGTTAATTTCATAGTCTGTTGATACAGTTAGTCACAAGTTGAGTAGGATAGTCTAATGCAGCACTTTGGTGAACCTTCAGTGATTTAATTGATGTCGCCGTGAACGGCCCATTACAGATCAGTCTATTGAGGGCCTAGCTTCCCAATTCAGTCATTTGTAGCGCTGACCCCACCTGAAAGATGAGATGCAGAACTAGGAGGAAAATATTCAAGTCACAATACATGAAGGACATAAAGCTACTGGTGCATGAGGTTAAAGCTTTCAGAAATGCAGACACACCAGAGTGGAAAACCACAAAGCAAAATGGATTTCGTCCATAATTTGCTGAAGGTTATAAAATCAGAACTGCTCTCATTTGCATAACGTTCCCAAAGTAAATGATCTTCATTATGTGCTAAATTGACTCAATTGTTCATAGTTAATTGACCTGTCCGTGTCCAGGCACTAACAGCTGTGATGATGAGCGCCACCCACACGAGTCACAGTTCAGTATTACTGTGCTCCCAAAAGCCATTTATTGCGTTAGGCAAGCTAATGAGACCGCATTTAACAAAACATCCGTAAATCATCTGTGTTTAATCTTGACCTCTAGAGATATATGTATAGCTTGGTCTGACAGACATATACACAAACAGAAAATGTCATCAGCAGTGTGCTAGTTGTGTCATTGCAACAAATGTTTTGTCAGGCATCAATTCAAAGTAATCAGTAAGAACACATATCCTTGATAAAAATGTGTAAATATGAGGATCTGGTGCTCTGAATGTGACTGGAGGGATGTGAGGGAGCTTGTGGGCATCGAGTGAGGCTTTAAAGGGTGTGTGTGTGTGGCCGTCTCACCAGAACTCTGCCGGTAAGGGTCTGTGCGGAGATCATGACCCCCGCCCAGTCTTTGACTGAGGTCATCCAGCCCACCTCACTGGCTGGGGCCTCATCCTTATCATTCAGGATCTTCGGTGTGCCATCAGCCTGAATGTTTACAGGGTTATTCACCTTCTGTGCCTCCTGGAAAAAAAAAAGCACAAAAGGAGAAAAAGTAAGCAACAGTATAGTTTTTTAGATACAAACACCGTCACTGTGTCGTGATGTAAAATTAATCACCATTGTGAATCTTTTGGTGGCTTTGATGATATTTTAAGTTACTTGAGTCATCAATCAAAAAAAACTTTACAGAAGTCTAATACGGCATTTTAATATATGATTTTTTTAAATTAAACAATATGTAGGTGGATATTGATGTTTCATCATTGTGTTTATTCCCAGTCTTGCAATTATTTACAGGTGTTTATACTGCTGCATATATACATATTTTAAATAAATACCATTCGTGTCTTAATTTGACAAATAAGATTTATTTTGCTTTATCTAGATTTTGTCAAAATGATGGTACCTCTAGCTGAGGTAAATATATTAAGATATATATTGTCATAATATCACAAAAGTTTACAAATATGGGGATTCAACCCATTACACTTAATATTTTCAAAATTCATCCCAAAATAAACTCTGAAAATCAAAATCTGATAGAACTGAAACAGACATAAATAATATTTCCATGTGTTATTTTTTATGAGGGCTAATTTAATTAGTAATGATGATTTATGCTTTTAAGCTTCAAAAAAAGATAAAGCGTTGATAAAGAAACAAAAAAACTTTGAAGTTCAATGTCAGAAATTGCATTAATAAAACACTATTTTTGCCTGTTTCTACAGCTTGACTCATGCTTTAGTTTGACAGGCTAAAACCTACATCACGTTAGACATCAAACTCGCTGTCAGGTTTCTGACAGCTGGGAGAGGCCTGAGAGGAAGCAGTGAGGAGAGGAGATTTTTGAGGCCCAGTAAAAGAACATCTCTCAGACTGCCTGACGCATACAGCGGCTGGCGGTGTGTAGGCCGAGGCAGGGACAGATATGATTCACAGGCTCAGGGAGTCGCTGTGGGATTCTGGGGTTACATCCGCAGGGCTAGGCAACACTTCACAGTCAGGTGGGTGGATGAAAATACACCCATCATGAGCGCAGTAGAGCAGCCTGATGCTTTAGAAGCTGCACTGGAGGAATCACTCATGTTCAACTGTGGGGTTGGCAGGGAACTAACGCACTTGGGAAATGATGGATAAATACTAATTTCTGCAAGAGCACAACAATCTTTTTAACATCTCTGTCTGCTCAGTGGAATCATGCGAGAACAGAATATCAGCGTGATGTAAAAAGTTTTCTGTTTGGCGACAAAAACAAAGAATATTATACATTTTACCCCAATGAAAATGTAGTAAATGGACTGACATATCACCAGGGAAACAAATTGATATCTGACATTGAGATAACCTCGTCCAATTTTGCAAATTAGAAATAATTTCCTATCTCTTCTGTGTGAACTACAAAGTCTACGGACCTTGTCGACGCATATAATTTTTTCAATTTATAAATAAATAGAATTAAATATTTGTCAATTCTTGTGTGTAAATCTTAATCCCTGTCATTAAGTCTGTCATGAACATTTTAGCTGTATTATCAGCCATCCCGCTTTGAGGTATTGGTAATGACATCAGTCATGAAAAAAAAAACAAAAAAAAAAAACAAAAAAACTGTATTTGCCATTAAACCATTTATTTTACTTTAAACATGATTTTCACACTGTTACAAAATGTGTATTATTTTTTTTAACTTTATATTCATATTATAAGAATCCTAGCTTGCCTCCGTTACACTCACCCCCTAAACCTCACTCCCAACCGTGTCATGGCAACAAATGTAACAGGTCCTACCGATCCACTCAGAACAGGTTCGAACCGGCATCTCCAACATGGGAGGCAGAGAGGCGTGCTGAAAAGGACACTAAAGGTCTCTAGAGTCAGCCCCTAGTGTGCCTCTTGAGGCCAGAGGAGTGAGGTTTACACAACATGAAATCTTCATTAACCATCAGCAGTTTGGAGAGTGGATCATTTGAGTGACCAACAGGAGCCGTTTTGCTTTTGGGAAATGCACCTCTGGTGAACAAAAGTGGCTGGATCTAAAACATTCAAATGACATACAACTCATATCTCTGTTGCTGCAAGTTACCAAAACCACACATGAAAACTTACAACACATGGTAGACACACATTTGTGCAGCGCAGAGCGGATCTCTCGCACTGTATGAAGTGACAACTAGTTTTCCAGTCCTGTTCCATTCACACAGTGCAGCCTTTCAGAGAATGCAGTTGTGAGGCCTGAACATTGAATGTGGTTGTCATTTTTGTAAATAACTGAACCGTATGAGAATGTAACCATATTAAGGACTCAGATACAGGACTGACGACTGCATTCTGCTGCTGTGTGAACGTTTCCTCAGACAATAAAAAATCAGGCTTGCACTCGTCTGTAGTAAACAAACAGTTTTGCAGGTGTTGTCTGAGATTCACTTCACAATCAGGCTCTGGGTGGTAGGTCAGAGATAAATATGTGAACACATCCCTAGAGAAATGCAGCACTCTGGTACTGCCACAGAGGATGCTAAGCTATGATGGAAAGATGTATGGTTCAGATGAGAGCAAAACTAATGAGAGTCTCAGGAGGAGAGAAACTGTTCCATCAACAAAAGGGAAGAACAAAACACACGCATGTGTGTTTCAAAACTAAACTCCAGGACAAAAGAAAACCACTGAGCATTAATAATCTACTTGCTCAATGCAGTCCCTGCTTGAGCACTTGTTACAGGTGCTGTTAGCAGAAAGTACAGGGTTCTAAAGATTTTAAGAAAGAAAAGTAATTTTTGGATGTTGTGTGAGGTGGTTTATCCCAGGACAGATATATCAGCCAGTCCTCAGGCTGTAGCATCCAGTGAGCTAGTAAAAGACCATGTCTCAGAGACTGGCATGCAGGTATTTTGAAGAGACTGGCACTGCAGGAGATCCAGACACAACCATCTGGCTTGACCACCGGCCCAGGCATACGAAGCAAAGGTTATGCAGAGCCATCAGACAGCCCATAAACAGACACTATAGTTAAAGCTACAGTGATTCAGAGATACAAGTGGACTTGTAAGTGGACTCAAATCTGGTTTTAATTGTAAAAGTTTCTCAGTCTATTAAAACCTGGTGTTTGAAGCCAAACAGTTTGAATATAATATAAAAATTAATAACAATAATAATACTTATTGTTATCATTATTATTATATATTAATATAATAATAATAATAATACTGCACAGTCAAATAAATGCCAAATAAAAAAAATAATATTTCATAATATTTTTTTTTTACTTTTACGGTAGTAAAATCACAATACTTGTGTCCTAATTTCACTTGTACAAAATTATTTGGCAGAAAACTACTTTGTGTAAACAAATTAGTCTAATTTCAAATCTATAAAAATGCTGTAATCATCTCTCCACAAAAATGGTGGAAATTATACAAATGTGAAAACAAAACCTAAGTGGTGTGCATGATGCGTTCCAAAATGCACATTAAACTCACACATTCAGACATTGAGTTCGCTTCACTGTGAACCAAGCCACTTTGAGACACCAGACCATGAAACTTATTCACAGCCGCACCATATTTGATTTTTAATCATGAATGAATGAAAGCGAGCCTGTGAGTGATAGGCGTACCGGTACATCTATTCAGTGGGTTGTAATGTTTTTAGATTGTTTTGCTGATATACAGTAATTTCAGATGCACTCGATGATGGTGAGATCCGACCTCCGTGTGGAGCATTGGCTGTTGTCAGAATCCTTGTGCATTCAAAAATTTGGATTATTTTTAACACTGGATTATTATAATTAATGGCACAATTAATGTCTGGAAATGTAAACTGATATTTCCTACTGAGACACTACAACAAAATATATAAATAACTGGCTTAAACCCATTTCTTTGAGGCGAAAATACTAGTGTGCCTAAGACTTCTGCACAGTACTGTATGTGCTGAAAATATCTTTCCAACAATATCATTAGACAATCCAGACAACATGAGTTGTGGAAAATTATAAGTGATCTTGGAGCTTTATGCAGCTTTTTATAGCGGATGCAATTGTAAACACAGTAGGTTTATTCCTCACAGCCACGCTTTCATATCTGTCATGGCACTGCCCTGAATAAGGTCTATGAGTTACTCAAGTGCTGCTTCGCTTTGAAACATGCATTGCAACAGACTATACAATTATTTAATTCAATCGCAGCTTTTTGCATTTAATAATTACGCAAGCCAAATTGATATTTTGATTCTGAATTGATTATATCATTATGATTTGTTAATAGGGAGGCTGTTGTTTCAATGATTTGATTTGTCAAATAACATAATCAAGTAAACTACTCCTAAAATGTGTCCTGCAGATCAGATTTCTTTGTCATGCATGCAAACTTAACCTTTAATCCAGTCCCTGCAGGAATAGGTCAACAAAGGTGTGCTCTGTCTGTCCATCAAACTCCAAAATATATCCCCATCTCCTCAAGCCTCCTCTGCCACATCGCACACATGCTTGGACCTGTCACTTGGTGTAAATACTGTAGTTGGTGTGCAGTGCCCACAGCATGTACACTCGGATCAAGTTTCATTCTGATCGGATATCACCATGTGCTCGGTCTGGCCTGGAAAGTACATCTATGAGTGTGTTCACAATCTGAATCTATTGAGTTAATGAGAGCTATGCAGAGAAACAAATATAAAATCTATGGACCTGGTGAGAATAATTTTAAATCATGGGCTTTATTTTGCTTTTAATTATTTTACAACAACAACAAAAGTAATAACAGACCCTTTTTGACTCATCAGTGTATGAGTAATCTCTTACATAAATGTAAACAAGTCGGAGATTAACAAAAATGTGTTTTGACTCAAATAAGGCGGTTTAATTTTTGGTTTAGTCAGCCACGCTCGGGCAATCATGCTGCATACTTGACAAACAAAGTGTCAAGAAGTAAATTTGTCACATTTAAAGGTGATTACTTCATAGAAGCTTCATCCTAACTCCACCTAAATCACAGTTCTCAAGCGGCACATGTGAGAGGGAAAGCTGTGAG